CTCGACTCCGTTCATTTACACTTAGGCCCGTATTATAGAAAGATTATGAGTGATTGTTCTAGTCTTGAGCATAGTTAGAAGGGGATGTCGCTATATATAGCACATAGCGATATCCCTTTCTAACTGTACACAAGTAAAGATCAACACTTCGTTGTCATTCTGTAATACGGGCCTTAGTCTTTTAACCGAATTCCATTTGCACTCGTATTCGGGCTAACGACCAAGTGTAATCGCGCCATTTGTTCGGCAGTATGTCGTAGCAAATCAAAACTCGGATCGCTTTCAGTATAACCCACACTTTAAGCAATCTTTTAAGTACTCTCATCAAAGTGACATACAGCTCAGTCATGAATTCATGATTACTATTCATCGGAGTTCGGACACAATAGCCTTTCCTAGCTTTACTCAATCGACGATACAATGATTCTACTAATAAGCAACTTTTCTGGCTTTCTCACAAAGACACCAATCAGTGTTTATTTGTGTGAATTGTGACTTGCCGAAAATTGTTTTTTTTTTGTCCGTCCATCTACAAAAGCCGTAATAACACAAAAGCCGCATAGAAAGTGTGACAACGGCCAATAACGTAATGACCACTGTTAATCCCAAACTTGATACCACCAAATTACTGTAAAATTATTGTAGAAAATTTTGTAACCCACAATTGAGCAAGTCTTTAGGTATTATTACAATGCCACTTTCTTTGAGGTAGTAAGTACGGTTTATTGAAAATTGACCTATCGTTCAGAGGCCTAAGTTTTGTTTGAGATATGGACAAGAATTTCGTTTAAAAACATACTACTTATTTGCGAATATGCTGCTATTATTCCATAGTAATATAATTAATTCACAAGTATATTTGTTTTTCCGTTCCGTCCGTATGAATTCGTTCGTTCGGTCCTACATCGCTAAACAGATTTTGATGAATTGTGATAAAGGCACAAATGTGATGTGAATATAAGGAAAGATCTGGTAGAAAGAGCTCTGTGTCTGTTTTTGCTGACCGTTTTATGGGGTGTCTTTGTAATATCGTAGGTGTTGTAAGGGTTGTGATATATTGGGGTGTTCTTCAGTCACCTAGTACTAAGGTAGATGCATGATGGAGGGGGCTCCCCTTGGTCGTGGAATGAGAGAGATGTTTTATGGACAGGTAGGAAGGCCAAAGGGGAAGATCTTCCTCCGGTCGAGCATTGTATATATGGAGTGTAAGCATCCGAATTTCACTTGCGCGATGTAGGCTTCCATACGTATTAATCGCAGCATCGGTAGCGCCATCTCTTGATGAGGCGAGTGATGATTTCCTCCATCCGCAGGATATATGTGGGGCATATAGATGTCACCGCCAGAGATTCATATTTATTGTACGGCGCGTCGTGTTAGTAAGTCCTTAGTATGTCGGACATAGTAGCAGTCAGTTGTCATATGTTACGGTCTTACGGTACATGTGGAACATGTCTATTATATTCATACGCTTCATATTTATGACCAGGGCCGGATTTAGAGGTCCAGAGGCCTCGGGGCAACAGAGGAGCGGAGGCCCCCTCACCCCAAAATTATTTTCCAAATAAAGTAAACAATTATTTTTCAGTCGAGTTTTTCAATAAATAATTTATTGTGAACCAAGTAGATTCCCTTAGTATTGAACAAACACATATAAATATAAACGGAAACAAGAATTATCTGAAATTAAATCTTAGAGTTAACGAACGGAACCGAAAAGGTGTTTAGGTACTAGTTGGAATTCGAAAGAATTTTTTTTCCGAAGTCTCTATTGTGGGGGCCCCCGTTTGTGGAGGCCCCGGTTCTTTCGCCCCGGTTGCCCTCCCCTAAATCCGGCAGTGTTTATGACGACAGTTGACGGGCATTTATTATCTGTGCGTGCTCTTTCCTAGGCTCCACTCTCGATTTCTACCAGGCGAAATCGGAGATAAACGCGCTTCAAACATGTTAAAACATAAAAGTAAATCTCTGTACAACCCCATTAAATATCGTTTTACTAAGACAGTTGTCCTACCCGCCGGCGTGGCAACGAGTAAACTATCGGCTATTTTCTCGCTCAAGAAAAGTACAATAGATATACATTCTTCGTAAACAGAGGAGATGCATATATCAACAGTTGATCGCTGACTGTTCACACTACCAGCGAGAACTCGCTTCACTAGTTTGTCGCTGAGCGAGAAGACCCTAACAAAGATAATACTAGCTCAGCTATGCTAGCTTGACCGTCAAAATACTTGCGCGTGAATTTTTGCTCAGAACTGTCACCGCGAGCGAGTGGCGCTAGTAATCAGCCGTTGTACTCTCATATTCGCTTATCGCCCAGCACTTGCTTCCCGTTGCTCGCTAACTTGTTTCCAGTTTCTAACTCTTCTCGCTTCTCGTTCATCGTTGGCTGTGGAACAAGTGCCTTAGACGGATGTATGCAGTGTGTGTTCGCTTCGAGTTGGCCGCTCCCTCCCTCCCCGCCTCACCGCACCGCGCTCCCAGACAAAACCGATTAGGCGACCCCATTGGTCCACGGTTGACCAGTTGATATGCCTGTGATTGGTTTGTGACACATTTTGTAATGGTCATCGACGTGGCCGTCGATTCGAGTTGGCACTCGAATCGAACGGGTATTACTTACTAGCGATCGCCTAATGGATAATTGAACTTCTTGAGTTCTTCTGTCAAAAAGTCATTATGTGTTTCGAAATCTTACATTTCTGAACTACCTACCTACTTCTCCAAATGAACTTTCAATTAGGTACCTATGCAAAATGTTACACTGGATCGTGTATATAAAAATGTTTACCACTACTTTAAAAAATGGGCACGAAAGAGTTTACTTCGTGTGTTAATAAAGAATATTGAATATATGTTACAGGTTGCTGGCTATGGGTGTTGGCAGTGTCGCTGCACCTGACGCTCGCAGCAGCAGCCGGCGGCAGGCATCTGCGTCGATCCATGCCCACACAACAGGTACACACTTATACTTACACGTTTTGACCCGGGCCGATAATTTTTGAAAGCACAAAAAATTTGGAACAGTATGAAACTCTTATCAAAAGGAAGAGAACATATAAAAAAACATGAAATAAGTTGAGGTCGGGAAGGATGGAGGGGACCTTTCTCAAAGAGCAGAAAACGGTTATTCACGATTTTTGGGAAACTAAAACTTCTATCGAAAAAAAGCAACGCAACGTTATAAGTAATAAAAATATCTACAACTTTTGTATTTACTCTTTTTTCACATAACCTAAAAATATCGGCGAAAAATCAAAATGAATAACATTTTGTTTTTTTATTATTTCCAACAAAAAAAGTATTTGAAAACATTCGGCGGTCAGAAATAAGAAAATGAAAACATAAGCTACAGCAATCCCGATTGGCGGTAGGCTCCCTGGTCTATTTCATCAGCAGCATACTTATGTCTTCACTGGCTTTTTCTAAAAGAAATAAAACTAAGACATACGGTCCCAATCCGTATTGGTGAGTTCTAAAGACTAGACGGCTTGAATTCCCTTCGAAGCATATTACGCTCGAAACTTAGAAAGGCCAATTAAACACAAATAAGACTGTCATAAACGCTAAAATCAAATGTTGATCTAAGGGTACAGAATTATAAAGATCTGGTTAATTTTCCTATATAAAATTCTATATATTAGTTCTATAATTAATATCAAACAAGAGAGTACACCTAAGATTATAAGCCAAAACCATCGTTAAGGCGTATACAACTTCATTTTGTTTTAAATTTCAGAGTCTATCAGTATCAAAAGGCGGTTGGCGACCAGTCGTCGGATCTGGAGGATTGTTGTATGCAGGAGCGTATAACACAGCCCCATTACATGGGCCCTCGTACAAAATTCCCATAGACAGAGATTACCCATCTTCGGCACGTCCGCTCGTCGCGAGGGACTCCGCGAAACTGACTTCAATAGCGCAGTCATACAGACCGACTACTCTACGAACTGTATCTTCAGTAGCGCCCGCACCATCTGCCAACCAGCCAATCAACTCATACCACAACCCATTCGCGTACAACAATAACTTGTCTTACAAATTCATCCAAAGCTTTCCCGTGGAGAACATCGTCATCCGAAACCCTCAGAACCCGTACGCCGCTCGGCCAGTATATTCCAAATATCCAAACAAAGTGAAGCAGTCTGGACTAAGTTCGTTACAGCAGCTTTCCAACGTCCAACCGATACAATTCGGTCAATACCAAACAGGCAAGCCTTTGTACGGGAAACCAGTGGAGAGTTACGTAAGACCAACTGACAACAGCGGCACTGAAATTTTCAAGCCTGAAGTGTTCAAGCTTCCAGACAGCGATACGGCGCAGCAATCTTTAAGTCAGACGGTGAAAACCGCGCAACAACAGCAAGCTCAACAACAGAACCAACGTCAGCAGCAACAGCAACAACTGCACTCGCAACAGCAGCAACTGCATTCGCAACAGCAACAACTGCATTCTCAACAGCAACAATTGCATTCGCAGCAACAGACATATCATCAACAACAACACTCTCATCATCAACAGCAACATCCATATCATCAATCCCAACAACAGCATCAACACCATCATCAACAACCGCCGCATCATCAACAGCAACAACAGTATCAAATTGGGACACCGAAGACACCTTACTTTACATACCAAGATCCCGTTTATCCACCGAATATTTTAGGTAGGTGATAAGTTTTGATTTTTTATTAAAAGTTTAAACATCATCTAATACCCACATTTTCCTTTAAACGCTTCAAAAGAGTATTAAGCTTCCAATTTGAATAAAGTAACTTTGACTTTGAATTTTATTCGCAATAGTTGTAGGTTCATAAATATCAGAAATCTTAAACTATAAGTAATTCAATATGAGGCTATTAATGTCCCAATACATATACTATACATATATATCTTTATATAGAAATACATATTAAACATCCATGACTGGAGTACAAATGCTCGTATTCATCACACAAACATCTGCCCCCACCGGGATTCGAACCCGGGACCTCTCGAGTCGGCAACACCATGAAACCCGGCGTTCAAACCACTCGGCCACGGAGGTTGTCAACCAATATCACTCAGCAAATCTTATTTTTTAATTTTCGATCGTTTTTGGAGTCGTTTCTATTTTTTTATTTATAAAATAAAAATAAAAGAAACTAAACCCTTATATTGAAGTCGGCATCATGATATTTTAATAAAATAATTGTTTCAGGTTCATTCGGTTCATTTGGCCTGCAGTCAGTGAAGGGAAGGGATCCAGGGTTCCCACACACCAAGACTACGTATTTACCTCCGCAACCTACCAAGCAAACCCTTTTCAATTCATTTAGCTTCACTCCAACCTTCCAAACTACACCAGCTGTTTACCACCCCACTACCACGCCCAAGTTCCAGACCACAGCCAATCAAATTCAATTCAACGATTACAACGGTATAAAAAATATACCAACTCAACCAACGAAACTTTCTACGCCACCCAAAATTGATCCTAATGCAAATAAAGGATCGTTTAAAGCTAGCCCTCAAGACCCATTCACAAATAAGCATTACTTGAAGGACTATAATAACATCGCCGCGACTACTTACAACCCTCAACAAACTACAACACTAGCTAGCAACTTCTTTGATTACAGCTTCTCAACGCAACAGAGTCCGCAAGTATCAAATTATTTTGACCAACCTTCCCAGAATTTAAATTATCAGAAGAAGAAACAGAAAATTCACGACACAATTACAGCTCATAACTACCAGGCGGCGCAACATTACGTCAGCCCGCCGATATCTAGACCCACTTACGAAGTAACAGAAACTACAGAAGCTGAAAACGTCTACACACAAGCGTCTCCGTCGGCATGGACTCATTCGTATGACAGCAATATAAAAACGACAGAAGAATCTGTAACAAAACAATTGTCACCCGACTTCGGTTTTAGCAAGCATACAACGACCTATGTGCCCGATCTACCCGAAGAATACGCCATTGTGACCGAAGCCGAAAAAGGCTATGAAAACTCTTTGAATTACGATAATCAAGTCGAATCTCAAAGCAGGCGGCCTCTAGGGGATGACTTCGAACCGATCGGTAAGCACAAACTCAAAGATTACTATTACAAAGTTTCTACAGAAGCATATGATGACTACAGCACGTCGAAACGAACGAAAAACCCCACTGAAGCATCTAAGTTAACAGTACAACCAGAAACTACAACAGCGAGTGTGAATAAAGAGAACACTAACGAAGCACCTGCTGATGCTTTGCCAACGCTTCCACCCAACAAGCACTTCAAACGTCCTACTACACTGGAACCTATAGACAAGGATAGAATTCGTAAGAGGAACAAAAACAGGAGACGCCGACCACCTCTTGCTAATATTAACCGAGAACAGCCTAGTTCTAGCACACGTAAATATGTTCAATCGACAACGGAACAGCCACCAAGTACCGAAACTGAAGAAATCCACACCATTAGACCTAGAATAAGGCCGACACACTCCAAGCCATATCCTCATTTAACGACCCCTAGTGTCACGACAGATTTGACAACAAGCGTGGTTCCAACTATTTCACCAACAGCACCTACTATAATAAAGAAAAAACTTATCCGCCGTCCATTAACGACAGTGACAGATAAAGTTGAAACTACAACTATACCACTTAATGATCATGATACTAACAAAGAATCACCCATTATGAAAATTGCAACCCGTCCACAATATTCAAAATATAGTTCAAACTATGAAACCCCAGATTACACTCATAAACAGGACGAAAAAGATACACCTACTAGTGACGTAGCCGTCAGTGCAAGTGATAACCTGAAAGCAACGCAGGAAGCAGCAAAATCTTTTGCATTCCATAAAGATGTGAAACCAATTGAGGCCAAATTAGAAACTACAACCGAAACAAACAGAGCTAGCTACGAAAACACGGAAGCGCCTACTACAACACGTACAGAAACACCAACCAGCAGCAGTGTCAAAATACAAAGACCGAGACTTAAAAACAAATTTAATCGTCCACGATTCAGCGTCAAGGATTACAGAAATCGCCTAAGTTCCACCACGAGTACAACAGAGAAGTCCACAGAATCTACACCGAAACTAAGATATCAAAAGAAAGGTTCTATCAGCGACGTCGAAATTGAAACCACAACGGAAAGAAAGAAGTTCACTCCCAAGGAACCGAGATACAAACAGGCGGAAAGAAACGAGGAATCAGATAAAGAGATCCCACATAACAGATATAGACAAAGGCAGACGACTGAGGAATATACAGAAAATACCACACAAAAGATATCATCGAGGGTTCGCAACGGCTTACGTAGACCGAAGCCAACAGAGGACGTGACCGAAACAACGACCAGTCACAGTAAGAGACCGCTGCGAAAGAAAATCAAAGACTCGGAAATTGGAGAGTCAGTTCAAGATATAAGCGTGACTGAGACGACTGTGCACTATGATCACAGGAACGATATAACATCTGAAAGGACGCGATCAGAAAGCGCTATAATGAAGATTGCTGATAAAAAACATCATCAAGATCCGATCGAGCACTTGTTTGAACATTCCAAAAGAGTATCGGACCTTACACTCGCTGCTAGCAAGGATTACAACAAGCCAGGGATGTTCAAAACGGTCTCTTCTTCGAATAGCAGGAGGATACCAAACTACTTCACGATAGCCACAGACGACCCCATCCTGCCGATAGAGGCATTCTTCCCCCAACTCAACCAAAAGAAGGAATCGTAACGTTCCTAAAGTTATTGTAATAGTTAAGTTTGCAAACCAAATCATTTTCTACTGCCAAAGTAACGAATCTTCCAATAAGTGGTACTAGCTGGCTGTTTCTAATTTAATATTACACTTTTTTCGATGGATAATAGTTACTTGTTAATTTTAATGGTATTAATAATTACTACGTCTAAAAATACTTAAATATATTGGCTTATCTATAAAGAGAAACAATGCATGGAGAGAAAAATACCTTCTTTGGGTGAAAGGTGTGCGGACGGTATCCACAAAGGGTAAGGTATCTTTACGTTTTTCTAATATCTTTAAATTATTCTGAGATATGCTTTTTAATATAACAAAAGAAAAAAAACAATACAGATGGAGGTATGTTGCCTTAACTCGTTAACACCAAGGTATAATACACGTAATTTGTTGTTCACACTTATAAACATGTATAAAACATGTAGTTTACAACACTTGCATCTAACTTGTTGGACAAATAAAAGATGTGAAGTAAATATGTAACTTATGCTTGAAAGATACTAATTGTCTATGCACTGTAATCGAAATAATGTTTCAAACAGCCACAACAACTTTCTACAAGTTTTAGAACTAGTATATGACTTGTTTCTTGGTGGAAACGAGAGGTTAGACTTTACCTGTTAACTGCATTGTTGCCGGTTGAAAATATGGCTTTAAATATCACGGTGTCTTAATGTTATGATAATATTCTCATGCAAAATATGTAAGCTAAAAATTATTGTCCGTCGAAAAACCAACCACGTCTTATATTTATTTATTTACACTTAAAATAATTTTATAGTACTAAGTATATGATGACTGCTAATTTTTCAACACTTGTTGTCACGTGCTCATTTTAATTTAGTTCGTAAGAGATAAATGCATTATATTTTTATAAAGTGATATATATGGGTACGTTGTGTGCATCGGTGCAAGACTAAAGGTTATGTTAATGTGTGAATGAACAAACTGCTTGCGTGTGTATGTGAAAAATAATAATTGAAAAATGTATTTATAAACTTAGTTGATAATTGTGTAAATAAATGACTTCCTTAACAAATGAGAATTCTATTTATTGGGCGTTAAATACTTTATTTATCATAACAAAAATATACAAATATTGCATGTTTATAGGATATTTCTTAACCAGCGTTGACTTCGGCTTGCATTTTGCCCATTTTTTGAATGCATTTAATAGCGGCCTGATGAATAGTTTTATCCAGGGCATCTAAAAAATAAAAAGCAAAACAATGTTTTCAATCACTCAAAAAGACGGACAAAATAACCTTTTTTTTTTATTTTAAACATTGACTTTCGAAAACTTACATATTTTATGTTGACCTTTGATTGGGAATCTGAGCCTTAAGCTGGTAGGATTAGAGCAGATAAATACGTATGGGCTCTCACTCTCTCCCTCTGGATATCTAAAGAATGGTCAATTTGGTAAGAAAAATTTTAATAGAACCAACATCAAACCTAAAAGACACTATCCTTTAGGAATAATATTGCATGTAACCAATGAAGGTTGGAACACTATTTTATTTAACTTTTCAAATACAGTACCCCTAACATGAACCAATATCGTATTCGAATAGTTTGCGAGTCCGAAATGTCATTGTCAAATGTGTACTGATTTTTAGTTCTCGTTACGTACTTTGTGGCGCTGCTGTTCAAGTTTCCATACAAAATTTGACATTGACATTTCGCACTTGCAAACTATTCGAATTCGATAAAGGTTCGTGCTAGGGATACAGAACTTACAACTTGAAATATATTATTTAAATAATTTCTCTAACAATTCAAATTATATAATATTTTTTGTATCGCATGGTCAATACGTAGGCTTCGTATCGAAACGAAACTTGAAGCTAATTAAATCTGTTATTGCATATATGTAAAGAAAATTTTACTAGAAAAATATCCACGCGGACCAGGCAGCAAACGGGACTCGAACCCGCTGCCTCCGTTATCCGGGCGGATACTCGGACCATTATGCTACCGAGGCCCTAACGGCCGTGTTCGAGTTCTTTCTAGTATTTCTTAGACTGTAAGGCAGCCTGAATCCCGTCTGATGCCTGGTCCGCGTGGATTTTTTACTATTATATCTTAGGCTGCAAAACAGCGCGATCTCTTCGCATTGTAGGTAACCCACAATGTCAAATGAATAACTTTACAAGTATAAAACATTTGAAAGAAGAAATAGCAATTATAGTTATATTTTTTAAGCATTAAACTGCTAGATATTTAACCCTAAAATTACTCTGGAGTCTCGTCTGCTGTAAAGGTATTTATTCTTTTGTCATTGTGGGTTACCGACAATGCGAATAGATTGCGTTGCCATGCAGACAAAGAAACACTAGAGAAAATTCGTCACGGCCAAAAGGGCCGCGGTAGCATACTGGTCAGTGCATTCGCCTGGATAGCAGAGGGTGCGTGTTCGAGTCCCGTCTGCTGCCTGGTCCGCGTGAATTTTCTTAGTAAATTAAATTATGTCATACTATAAAAAAAATTTGGGAAAGTATACGTATTAACCTTTTTTGATATTCTTCTTGAGGTAAACAGTCTTCCACTGTGACGCAGCCAAGAAGGCAGCCGGTGGGATAGAACGTCGGGAACTTCAGTTGCTTATCTGAATACAAATGAATAAATGAATGGAAATGTACTGCAATAGACGTTAAATCACACTAATATTATAAAGGCAAAAGTTTGTGTGTATGTGAGCGTGCATGTTTGTTACTTCTTCACGTCTAAACGGCTGGAGCGATTTCAATAAAATTTGGTATGGAGTTAGCTGACACCCTGGATTAACACAGGCTATGTTTTACTGCGGGAAAATATCCCTAATAAAACGCGGGAAACCGAGGGGCACATCTAGTTGACAAATAAGCTTCGGCTATAAACACGCCTAGATAGCGTATTACCTGCATGGATGTGGCACAAAAAATATCTACTACATATAGTAAATAAGCTCGTCGCTACACACGCACACATTGACTGCTTTGAAACAAAAGACGAGACATTAGAGTCACGCACACATTGCGCATGAAATAGGCCGTTTTCTTTGCGTGGTTTGGATTGCTCTATCTAGGCGTGTATATAATCAAAGCTTTTCATCATCATCAGCCTACTAAGGTCCCCGCTGCTGGGGCACAGGCCTTCCCTATGGATGGAATAGGGAGATTGGGCCACGACCCACCACGCGGGCCCAGTGCGGATTGGCGGGTGCTAACGACTGCAGATGCAGCCGGAACCAACGACTAAACGTGCCTTCCGAAGCACGGAAGAACTCAAGATAGAAGATTTTAAGTCACCCATCCAATAACCGACCACTGCGAAAGTTGCTTAACTTCAACGATCACAGCCGAACACGCTAACCAACCGCGCCATTGAGCTCCTCATATAATCAAAGCTTTTAAATCGTCGATATTCTGTTAATCATTCAAATAGTCAGCATCATTATAATAAACTTATTAATATGTCGTCAAGCTATGGATGGAATAGGAAGATTAGGCCATGCATGACGCGCAAAGCGGGCTCAAAGTTGCATTACCTTCGTACGTTACTCGTATCTGAGCCAATCATAAATCATCATCATCATCATCAGCCTATTAATGTCCCCACTGCTGGGGCACAGGCCTTCCCTATGGATGAAATAGGGAGATTGGGCCATGACCCACCACGCGGGCCCAGTGCGGGTTGGTGGGTGCTAACGACTGCAGATGCAGCCGGGACCAACGGCTTAACGTGCCTTCCGAAGCACGGAGGAGCTCGAGATAGTAATTTTTGGTCACCCATCCAATGACCGACCACTGCGAAAGTTGCTTAAGTTCAACGATCGCAGCCGAACGCGCTAACCACTTGCACCATCGAGCTCCTCAATCATATCTAAATAACTAATAAATCAATCAATCAATCATATCTAAATAGCTCAATCATAAATAACTAACATTAACTCACCCGGGTACAAAACCCTGTACTGATTCTCTAACGCACTGATTATCGCCTGATCGGGCGGTTTAGCAGTAGACGCGATCCACAGCCGGCCACGATGAGAACTGTACCACGTGCGACCCTCGTGCCTGGTCACATTATCAAAAAGGTAATGTAAAAAAATATATGGTAAAAAAACGAAAAATCAATATCTGTTCCGTGATTAAATTCTATTCAGTCATTTTTTTTTCTTTTGTCAATCTACCAAAAATTATAAACAATAAGCTCGTTAAAGTTTGGGAGTGGGAGCTTGCGACGTCACTTGTAAGTAAAAATTGTGCCAACGCATGGCGTCATGCGACATTTCAAATCATTATATCCTCTTAAATATTTTAATTAAGTATGTGAAAAAATACGTGTCTTATACTGTTTTGACAATCTACCTGGGGCTAAATCACCTAACGGGATTGCTATGGTTAACGCTATCGCTTACGATTACAATTTGTAATTTAGAGCGCCTAAGGTTTTCAAATACTTCATACTCATTATCTTTAATATTGTCATTACCAATGCAAAAGGAAAAAGAGCGCGAGGCATTTGACAACCTTCGGTGATCAGAAATAACAAAATAACGATAACGATAGCCATTGGCGTTAGGCAATTGGCCCACTGATAGGTGAAAAAAAAAGTTAGTCATCATACCTATTAGATTCGTGATTCATGGATACACTGACAGAGTATTCAGAAAGCGACTACACTTAATACTTTGTTAAAGTAAATAAAGAAAACGATGTGTATTATGTGCCATAGAGTACTCAATCACATACATCGGTGTTCTAGGTGTCGCCTACTTAGGGGTCCTGGGTTCGAATCCCGGTGGGGCAAACGTTTGTATAATGAAGACGACCCTTTGTACTTATGTAAGGCTCTGTATACAAAAATATACTAATGTATGTATCAATTATGTATTTCTAACCATTATCCTAGTATCCCTTAACACAAGTCTTTACATAACAAACAACAAAGCCTTTACAACAAAGTTTCCCATACAACATTTTATTCCTCTTTTTACCCCTTCAAACTTTATTTGCACAAGTATAAGAAGCCATTTATATATTTTTTTTTAAATTAGCTCACCTGATGTTAAATAGTGCCAAAGTCAAGACGCGAGGACAGCTGGTGCAGCAGTTATAAACTGCCACACCAACCATCCTTACTTTGTCGGCCTTCATAAATGCTTCTTCGCGCCTCTTTTAAAGTGCCCCAGATTGTAGTAAGGAAGGGGTTTACTTACAATTTGATCCCATCTACGAGTAATGAGGCCCATGGCTGATGCATCGACAGACAGCGACCAGTATCGCACATCTCTTGCAGTTGTGCGTCCTGAACTCTTGCGCCTTCCGACAACCCCGACCTTAGTGCCGACGAGTAACCAGACCCTTCTACTGACGAGTCGAACTGATTGTGGAGTAAAGATTTTTTATTTATTTTATTTGGCATGCCAACATTTTTACACCCAACATAATTAAAAAACGAGTGTGCTTATGACCACACGACTGAAGTAAAACTTCTTTAGCTCCATCCATCTGTGTGTGTGTGTGTGTGTGTGTGTGTGTGTTTGTGTGTGTGTGAGTGTGTGTGTGTGTGTGTGTGTGTGAGTGCGTGCGTGAGTGCGTGCGTGCGTGCGTGCGTGCGTGCGTGCGTGCGTGAGTGTGTGTGTGTACAATATGTACATATACATATTTCATTTACTAGCTATAAGAGAAAGAGAGAAATAAAATGTGCGCGCGCTGCTTTCTCTTGCTTACATCCCCCACTCAACAACACTCAACTTCGCCTCGCCCGAACATACTTTTCGTAACGCGTAACGCATTCGCCAGCTTACCCCCATCAAGCGTGTGTAAAGAAGATTCACTTCAATAACATAATTTAAACATAAAGTTGTGCAAAAACAGTTACAGGCATAATGAAGTCTTTTTTTCTGACAAAATTAGTGATAAAATTCAACTATGTAACAAGTTCGTGAAATGTTAACGTTAATTTAAAGCAATATTAAATACAAAGTACGTAGTCTGCGCGCAAGTAGAGAGCTGGGTCAATAGCGTGGTTTCTGTCACGCACGCGTTATTGCGTACGTTTACTGGATTCTCAAAGTTTCGCAATGATAGGTCGGCAATAAACTTCTATCTACAAAAATATAATCAATGTCCTAATGCGAGACCGTACTCTCTGGAATGAGTTATTGGAGCGTTATCTTTATAGCATAATCGCTTACAAAAGACAAGCATGGTAGATAATCTGTGTCTCTCACACGAGAATGGAAGATGTCTCGTCGAGCCCTAGAGTTGTTCCTTACTGGCCGGTAAAAAGTCGGTACTAGCTAATTTCCATGATTAGTATAGTTAGGTGATACCGCGAAATAGGAAGTAGCCAGAAGGACAGCTCCCGCCATCCGCCGCAATAATTACCTTAACTTACCGCTATTGATTTTGACAAAACGTGTCACAGGTCTCGAATGATTTTTGATATGTAACATCTTTCCTCTCGCTTTCGTGTAATTTGTGGGAGTGATTACGTGAAGTGGGACGGAAGTGTGTAACAGGAAGTTAGGGAAGCACGCGCTATTTGATTTGAGTTTAGAACATAATGTTCAAATGGCTTATTGCTTTTGTAGTAGGATTTATTTCTTTTTTTACTAATATAAGGTGAGGTTTCAAATGTTACACATTATACACGACTACTGTAAGGCTGGCTCGTTTATAAGGCGGTTTGAGTTTGTATTGCGTTGTGAACGAACTCAAACTCTTTATTTGCAAACTAAGTGTTACATACAGTTCTTAAACATGATACATAGCATCTTATGACTTAGTCACCTTGTACAGGCTATAATAAATAATAGATAATAATTAATTATTTTGCTTAAAACTGCGTGAGAATGCCTGAAACGATAACGTGAATGTGTGCGTGACAGAAATGTTGCTTAGGCGCGGCGGTTACGTTAAAACTTTGTGGTAATACTGTATCTATAGAATAGACCTAAAGAATGGACTAACGGACACTGGCATGATCTCGACAACGTTCCAGAAAGAAACAAAAAAAAAACAACCAACCCAAAGGCGAACGATAGACCACTAAACTATGCTTCATCTTATCGCTTCGCCAGGGACAGTGCAGACTCTTTGGCAATTTCAATAATGAACTTTGAAGCCAAAATATTTTTATAATTTAGATTGAAATAACAACTGTTCCTAAGAAAAAAAAAACAGATTATCTTACTTTTTATTGAAGGTTCAATTATTAAAACTGGCCGTATCTATTTGATCTATACCTGTAATAGCTGAGCATTGACACCGGGCGCTACGTCTCTGTCGCCCGCTTCTCCAATAAACAAGTCGTGGTTGAAGAACTTCGAGTCACCGCCACTACGAGTCAAGTCAGCAATCTGCTGCTCGTCCACTTCATAATCGATTGTGTTATCTTCCACTATTTGGCGACCTGGCCGGACAAGACGTTGACTCATGGAACTTATATACTAACTGGAATGCTTAAGCGACCCTCAAAATCGTTCCAAGAGCATAGCTGAATTGGTGGAATCTGTCTTGTGTATTGCCTAAACAGTTGCAAGAGAGGGACAGATTCCGCTTTCGTCGTTGCCGCGCTAGGAGTATTTTTCCCCCTTATGAAGGTAGAAACAAAAATTGATAACTTGTCAGAATACATTTTTTTAATTCCCATATTGTTTCGTAAGCATTCCAGTTAGTATATAAGTACCTTGCGTCGAATATAGTGGAGAAACGTGGTAGCAACTTTTACCCTTTTTTTAGCTAATTGAAATAAAAATGCGAGTATTAGAGTCAACGACATTAAATACCCTAGATACACAATGAACGCTCAAAATGTGGCCCAATTTTGTTGTAATACTTACTATAAACTGATTTAATAGAAAATATTTGTGATATTCAAATGCATGGTCGGTTATACGTTGCCGTATAGCAGTCTCTTTTAAACGTGGTCCGTACCTGCTATATTGCTAACAGCGCATTCAGAATACGCGTAGAGTCAAATAAATAAGGTCTATATTCTTCCGCATATAGCAATAAGTCGTAAAATTTTACGAGCTTGCATTTTGAAGTGTCAGATGTCTTTGACGCATGCGTTTTAATTAAGACCTTATACAGTACTAGCGGCCCGCCCTCGCTTCGCTTCGGTGTAGAGCTGAAGTGTAGACTACAGTTTTTGTTCTCAGGCTTGTATTATACACAATGACATTTATCTATGATTCTTCTTATACCTGCATGCAAAGTCTCAGCCGGATCGGTTTAATAATGACAAAGTTTCATACAAAGTTTCATTTCCTATTTTATCCCCTTGGGGGTAGAACTGATCAAAATCCTTTCTTAGCGGATGCCTACGTCATAACATCTACCTGCATGCAAAATTTCAGCCCGATCCGTCTAGTGGTTTGGGTTGTGCGTTGATAGATCACTATGTCAGTCAGTCAGTCACCTTTGAGTTTTATATATACCTTTGAGTATTATAGATGAATTAAAGGTGACTTTCAAAGTTTAAATAATGCCTAATATGGTTGTTGACCACGCGATCATCTTAAGGAGCTCCGTGTATCGTACAATGTACCTTTTGGACACTTTTCAGCCACAATTTTGTTCGTGTTGTTGTATCCAGGGTATTTAATATCGTTGATAAGAGTACGTTTAAATGATAGGCGTTTAACGCGCGTTTTGATAACGCACGTTGCGCGTGTCCAATAAAAATGCGCGTTAACATCTGAACGACTCGAACAAAATGCATGTACTTGTTAACGCGCGTTAGCTAAACGCGTGTTAAAAACCAAAAAAAAAGTGCTAAGTTTAAACTCAAACTTGAGTTTTATTCATACCCAATCTATAAACAATTTCAAAACTATCTTCTAAGAACTCACCAGCGAAGTCGAATGTCATTTTTTTGCTGAGTCGTGAGGCATGCTTCTTTTCGTGCAATGATTGTTGATATTTATCCAACTTCTCTCGCTCGGCTGAGCTCAACCACACGCTGCCCGCGTTAAAATAGTCGCTATCGTCGTCCGTCACTCGGGTGCGTTTCTCGCTGGGAAATCAAACCCATAGACATAAATAATCGACAAGAGATATACTCTTAAAATCGGTAAATTGATATAAGAGGAGCTAGCGAACAAAACGGTATAACTATATAAAATTAAATTTTACAGGAGCTGTATAAAACTGAATGACATACCTCCAGTGAGCTTTTGGCATGGTTTTTAATCTATAATTTTGGCAATTTTAACACTGTTTTACGCGGTTTTGATTGAAAATTACTTGAGATTCAAATTCAATGTTAAAAAAAAGTAGCTTGACCAGATACCGTTTTGTTCGCCAGCTCCTCATATCGTAAACTTCATTGAGTAGTATTCCTACTCAACAACTATATAAGAATCGATAATAGACTGAGCATGAAATCTTCAAATCGATGTTTTAATATAAGTTAGTTTGATAAATGGTAACATCTGAAACTTCTTACTTCCTAAAGAAATGTTTGCTCACCTTGTCCTATCAAATTCAAGCAATCTGTTTCTGTGTGACATTGCTGCTTCCCAGCCCTTTGGTCTGCTCCTTTCCATAAGGGACTCCATTAACTTTGCACTGGCTTTTGTTTTAGCATTGAGTTCTTTTTGCTCTTCAGGAGTGCAAACCTTAAAAAATAAAATTAGAAAAAGGTTACATTTTATTGCTATATTGAAAATAATTTGTGTAGAAGCGGAATTATGAATGACTGCCCCCGTTCATTAGGATTTGACATTTCCATTGTTTAGTATATATGTATGAACCAGCATATATCAAGAATATCAATAAATTATTTGAATATTAATTTCAGAAAAAAATAACGATATTAAATGAAAAGTAATCTTAATAAATTACTTTAACATTTAAAGCCTATATTTAATTCGTTTTTTTTTTACTGTTAAAAATACATAAAAACACACCAAATTTCCACAGAAAAGACAAGGCCCAGACCCTTCTTGCTTGCAAACAACTCGTCCACAATACAAGCAATTATTGATGAGCTCATGTTTGGAAGCCTGACAGTCGCAATGGTGCCGTCCTAAGGAAATAAAAGAAAATTTCAATATATATTAAATAGTTCTACCAAAGCCATATCAGAAAAAAGGCGAGTATATAATAATTACATATCGAAATATATAACAATAGTAATAATATCTATTGCACCATTATTTAATATATATTTTATTAAGTATCTCTTAAAGATAAAAAAGATATACAACTGAAAAGAATAATAAAAAACTTAATTTCTTTTCTGTGTGATACATCTAATACTTCACTGCTATTTTTTGGGATTTTACATAAAAAAGGAACCTCTGAAATAAATTTATTTAATAGAAATAAGTAGGATTGCTATATCAACAAATCAAAAGCAAATATCAGAGTCCCAATAATAATGTGATTGTATTTAAAACAAATATCAACACAACTACCTTTTAACAAAACAACCTGAGCATTCTTTCCTTCTTGAGAATACAGATTAACATATTTAGTCTTCTTCCTTGACTTAGTTTCTGAATCAACATTTTGCGGCTGAGCAGGAGGCTCCTCTACAGACACAAAGTCTTGTTTCTGTTGCTTACTTTTGGATATTTTCTTCTTCTGCTTTTGTGTGGGAACACCTGCAGCATTACCTAATAATAATTATCAATAAGTCATAAAGATAATTAGATTTTTATTTCGGCGTAAAATTAAAAATGCATTAAATATATATATTCTGTTATGACATGGCAATCTTAGAGGTTTAGGTTCTTTTCTACTTACCTTTGGATGGAAATTTACGTTTCGATAGTTCTAAGACAAAATTCTTGTGTTGAGGGTTGTCAAAATCGAGCAAGGTTTTTAAATATTCCTTTAAATCACCCTCATTTGCAATAGAAAGTATATATCTGTAAAAGAAATGTTAGTGATATTTTGATGTCGTAAAGTTGTGAAACAAAATGTAAATATTTTAAATATACAGACCTAATTAAATCTTCGGGTACTTCAAAGTCTAATATTCGTGATAAACCTTCTGATAACCACTGCTCCATCATCAAATATCTTTGGTCCAATTAAAAAGAAATGGAAATAAAACGCTCGCGATGAATATGAAGCCAACCAGCTGATTTTGACATTGACAGTACAGCACACAGTCACAACACAGCAAACCACAGTCTACGAAATACATTGGTTTTCAATAGATTAATATTACGTTTTTTACAACTATTTTTTGGTATGGAATGATGGCGGCCGTGCCGCTAATTGATTTGCAACTATATTGTATTTATTCATTTGATATTCTGATGAATTTATTTTACATGGTAGTTTCATTTTCCTACTTTGAATAAACTTAGTGACGGTGCGATGCCAATAAGTTATTGGTATGTATACTGTGTATTACATAAATAAATATATACGGGATTATTGGTGTCAATTCTGGCGTGCATCTCTAAACTTAAAACTAAATTAAAGGTCAGTCTCACCTTTTCATTCTGTATAGAGAAGGACAAGGATGCACTGTTGTCAAATTTAAGTTTAGGTTTAGAGAATCATGCCAGAAACGACATCATTGGCGGGAATTCATCGAGTGCGGTTGGCGTCATATTTTAATTATTCTTTAAAATTTGTTCATTGTGGATATTGTGAAATAAAATTGGTGTGATTTTGTGTTACAATCGTCTGCGAAACTTAAGAATTAAAATATTCATTATATCGGTTAAGTGGATGTGAGAACTTTTTGTAGTGTTGACTATCTCACAGAAGCTTGTTGGGATATACTGTACTTCCAGGGCCCAAAAGTAAAAACTTCACAGTTTTGTTGGTTGTAATTTCGCATTTTTGTTCTTAAAATGGTTTCTGTTAACCACATTATTAAAAAAAATGTCACACTTATGCACTGGTAGTTTTTTAGAAAAAAAATATTGAAAATTTTTACTTTTCTTATCAAGTGGTGATACTTCACACTAGGTTAGGTTAGGTTAGTGTTGTGACCATAACGCGCGAGCCGAGCGAGCAAAGCGAGCGTGCCGCGGCAGCGGCCGGCGAAGCGCCAGAAAAAAAATCTGTTAAAAAGACCTTTTCTACAAAAAAAAACAAGTATCACCTTTTGGGCCCTGGAAGTACAGTTTTACCGCTTGTTGGGATAGCTAACTCGATCTAAGATTAAAACAAAAAAACGTAGATACGGCACTCGCGGGTCAAAAGTGATCCGCTTAAATTGTGGCGAACGATCACAATTCGCTGTCACAATTGGATATTCAAACGCGCTGAATGTACACTCAATATAATTAAATTACGTGTATTCTGTGTTATAAAGATTAAATAATGCAATCGATCCGTTTCGTTCGCTCTACGTTAAAGCGTCAGTTCGGTGTCGCTCGCTCGATTGAATGTTATTTACATTCGTGTGCGTGTATGAGAGTTGCTTATGTAGTTGAGTCGGATATTTTATTTGATGCTAGTATGAGCGTACCGTATCTTCCCTTTTTGTTTTAATCTAAGGACTCGATACATTTTATGCCCAACACTCCAAGAAACATTAGAATGCGTCACACCTTGACAGGAGGGCGCTGCTGGTGAATAGAAACGGGTGAAATGAGGATTATTGAGTAATCTCCACACTGAGAACGTTCTATTATGGATTTTTTCAAGTTTATTTTGTTTTATTATTTGATTTGTGTATCTCATATTAATCGAATAATTAAATTGATGAAAACGGAGAATCCAGAACGTACCGAGCAATTCCAACAGACTTGCTGTCAAATCAGTCTAACTAATGTCAAATTGACAAATTCAGACATTTGTCAAGATAGAGTAGATTTTCGGGTTTCCGAATTTAAATAAATTTATTTTCTATTTAAAACAGATCATTAGAGGTTGGTATTCCGAATATTAGTATTCACTAGCAGTTTAACATAAACAATAATACTTACTCAGTTTTGATGATACTTGATCATCAATTGTTTACGTAATTTTTATAACCATAAAGGAATCATTAAAAGATCATTGTTAAATTTCGTTTAATTCCAGATTTGAACCATGTCCATTTCGCCGTTTATTCGTACACCATTTACGGACATTACGGGATGTATGAGTTCCCACCAAATGTTGGGTAAATGCCAAAAGGAGGAAATTCGCTATATGGATTGCTTAGAGGCTTACGGCCTGGACCGCGGCCGTGTGAAATGCGCCCCTCTTTTTGATAACTACCACGAGTGCCAGACGATGACCAAACAGTTCAAGAGATTTATTGTTAGTTAAATTTTACATGTGGATTAATTCATTTGTAAACGTTAAGTAGTACAAAAAAAATGTTTTGTTTATCAAGTTTCCACTGTTGAATATGTAAATAAGCGTTGTTATTGTTGTTGCCGCACAATTAAGCAATGTTTAATTTTTAAAATTTATCTAGTTTAAAAAACTATCTTTTGTTTTTATTTTCAGGCAATGCGAAGTGAAAGGGACAGACAGATAGCCGAAGGAAAACTTAAAGGAGACGAGAAATATCTCAGCCCCAGAGTGGATAGCTTCTAAAAATGAATATTTAAGAGAAATAATTGTTATTAGTTACTGGAAAAGTACCTTTATTAAAATATACTGCCTAGGAGGTCTATTTCTATTTGTACTTATATCTTTTTTTCAACATAGTAGGAAAGAAAAAAAATCTTTTACCTGTCACTCAAAATTTGACAATTGACTTTACAACAGGATTGTTACTTGTAAAACTAATTTGCAGATATTTTACAAAACACAAACTAATATGCAGGGTATTTCACCATTTCTTCGGTCACCATTCACTGATATAACTGGGTGCATCACATCACACCAAATGTTAGGCAGGTGCCAAAAGCAGGAGATGCAAATGATGGACTGTATGGAGGCATATGGGTTGGAACGTGGTATGAAAAAATGTGGGGACTTCATTGAAGATTTTAGAGAGTGTCACAATTTGAGAAAACAATATTCGAGATTTCTTGTAAGTGGCATACAACTTCATATTAAATAACTATACTATAATTTAGAAGTCATCTATTAGTTGATTTATTAATGGAAACAATACTTCTACTCAAAGGCTCTAGTGCCTATGCATTATACAATCTTAGATTTTACAAGATTCGGTTTCACAATAAATAGTTTTCTACCTTACAAAATTAACAAGTACCATGAGGAGTAAAATAATAGTCTACTAGTAATACCAGACATATTAGTAGACCATTTGGGCCACAGCCATCCACAGACCTTCCCTATCAATGGAACAGGCCTATCACCATAGCACATGCCGCATGTGCAGGAGGAGGAGCTTGAAGACAGAAGTTAAACAACTTTCACAGTCATTGGAAGGGTCACCAAAAAAAATTACTATCTCAAGCTCATCCATGCTTCAGAAGACACGTTAAGCTGTCTGTCCTGGTTGCATCTGCAGTTGTTAGCACTCACCAATAGGCACTGAGCCCGTGTGGTGGGTCATGATCCAATCTAACTATTCCATCTATTGGGAAGGCCTGTGCCCCTACAGTGTGAACATTAATAGGCTGATGATGATGATAATCCTACAACCGGTCATTGCGAAAGTTGCTGAACTTCCACGAACGCAGAACTAACGCACTTTTTGCTAACCACTGAGCATCAAGCTCTACAGAAGCCCTACCGAGTAAATATAATTAATTTTTTTTAAAGGGGTAGTACCCCAAACATGAACTTTGTCAGCACCCTTCGCACGAACCAATATCGAATTGTAATAGTTTGCGAGTGCGGAACGTCATTGTCAAATTTTCTATGGAAACTTGAACAGCAGCGCCACAACAGACGTAACGAACTAAAAATCAGTACCGAGTAAAAATAACTCAATTTTTTTAAAGGAGAAGTAAGTACCCCAAACATGGACTTTGTCAGCACCCTTAGCACGAACCAATATCGAATTCTAATAGTTTGCGAGTGCGGAACGTCATTGTCAAATTTTCTATGGAAACTTGAACAGCAGCGCCACAACAGACGTAACGAACTAAAAATCAGTACACATTTGACGTAGGTATAAAATAGATCGAATTCGAATAATTTGCGAATGCGAAATTTTGTATGGTAACTTAACAGCAATGTCACAACGGACGTAAGGAGAACCAAAACTCATTTGACAATGACATTTCGCACTCGCAAACTATTCGAATTCGATATTGATTCATGCTAAGGGTACAGATCCGTAATCGTATCGCCGTGACAAATTTTCTATAGAAACTAAGCAGCGCCCTTACCGCTTACACGATGACGATACGAAGACATTATCATAAGTTGTTTGTGCTTAAGTTGCTAGTGTTTTCGGTAAGAATTACTCAAGTCGTCAGATCTAATAAGTACCCGCAACACTTAGATTAAAACAAAAAGGGTAGATACGGTACGCTCTTACTTGCATCAATCAAAAACTGATCCCGCTTTACTACATATGCAACACTCACACATCCACCTGTTTGTAAAGATACAATCGAACGAACGAAACAGCAATATAAGTTTCAACGGCAGCGCGAACGGGACGGCGAGATCCGCGTCACTGCGCTACCGACCAATCACGCGATCAGTACTCGACGTCACTACAGAGTAGCGTCAGAGAAAAAAATAAAAGCATTTTTTATTAAATATAAGTTTTTTATTAAAATTCAATAAAAAAAATCCACATTGAGCAATTTTCAATCTACTTTGAAAAGCCGAGGGGATGAAACTGTTTACAAGTATACCTACTAAAAGTAGGTTTTTTACATGATAACGTCAACATTTTTTTTAAGGTATCTTATACTGCTGGATGTGGTCATTTTTTTTTTGTATTCAGTGTTTAATAGAATCTAATCGAGATACAATTTTTACTAGAAACTTTACACTTATTATATTTCAATACCAATCATAAACTGATTGTTCAATAAATAAAAATAAACTAAAATAATATTAAAAAAGTTAAAATCAGACACACATTATTATATCACCTGATAAAAAATCAGTTAACAAGCGTACCTACTAAAAGTAGGTTTTTTATACGATACCGTCAACAATTTTTAACGATACGATGTCAACGATAGATACATGCTGCTGCAGTTGATAATGATGGGCAAAGTGGACGGAAAGAGACGTGCTGGGCGAAGAAAAATTCATGGCTCCGGAATATCCGGGAGTGGACCGGTATTGCCTCCGTCGAACAGTTGTTCCGGCTGGCTGCTGATAGAACTACATACAGGAAGCTAACGGCCAACCTTCAGGATGGAAGAGGCACTGGAAGAAGAAGATTACAAAAACAATTTTAAACCCTGCAAAGAATAAAAACGCCATTTCTGTAAGTACAGAGTATATTAAAGCTAAAATGTCTGAAAAAATAAATAAACCTCTTCGAAGAAACCAAAATGTAATGAGTTTAATAAATGCAGCATATTTTTTACCTACATAAATTATTATTTCAAAAAAAAATTACGAAATATTTTTTTGTTGACTCTACCCAATTTATACTCTCGACTCTCGACAAATATTCGCGCTTATGCTTTTTCTCCCTCATACAAACGTTTACAAGTGTTGTTGTCTTTTTCTTAATAACAAATACCGAATAAGATTCAAAACAAACAGCATTTTTTATGAAAAAATATATTTTATAGTACTTACGAATGAAAAGTGATGCTGTCGGTTTTATTTTTAGTTCTTGAGCAATTTGAGCACTTTTTAAAAACACACTTAGGCATTGTTTTATCATATAATCACAAAATTTTAACAATATTTCTTTTTGACGTTCACATGTACGTCATTTGCATGTCAAGTTGTGACTAAAGCGATTGTGGCCTTGGGCCACAATTTATGCGGATCATTTTGTGAGGCTAGTGCCGTATCTACCCTTTTTGTTTTAATCTAAGCCGCAACATTGTCGTAGAGCTACTCCTACTTAAATATCAAAGGCAAATCAAACAATAAAGAGTTTTGATTTGCTTAAACAATATTTCAATTTGTTATACCAGTTTTTATATACTGTTTCCACTTAGCGCTGTTTTTGTTACCATTTCAGGCAATGCGCAAAGAACGCGACCGTCAGATCGCAGCTGGAATATTGAAAGATGACAAAAAGTATGTTTCTCCAAGAATTGACAGTTACTAACAACAATGAAAAATAAATGAGTGCTTACCATGTCTATATATCGTCTTTTACTAAAATGGGGCATAGCGGATTGGAGCGCCCGCCTGGGAAACTTACTTGTTACTTGTTGTGGGCCCCCGTTTCCACACGTAGACTCCATAGTTGGTCCATTGTGCGTGCAGGGTTGATTGGGATAGCCAGCACAGCCAGCCCAGCGCACACACAAGCTTCCAGAAGCGCAGTATTCTCCTGGGACTCTTACAGGCTTTTAGGACCTCGTCCTTGGCGTCCCGAGGATTGATGCCTGGTGTTCTGCCACGCTCATGCGTTCCAGGATCACATGAGCGGCCGTTTCATCTGCTTTTAGATATCCTCTGCACAGAGAACTATCTGTAACACGTATGGTTAGTAAATGCTTCGCCTGTCTGGGGAAGTAGCCTCCATCTTAAAGAAGATCACAGTAAAATAACACTGCCTTTTGGTGGTGTTGTGTTTCTATCGGTGAGTAAGGTTCCAGGGATCTACGAGGTAGGGAATGAGGTCAGGGTAGGAAACGGCGCAAATGATATTTTTTGTATTGCAAGCGTCTCTAGGCTATGATGCCCGACAGACCCGTCTTTCCCAGTGGGCAAGTGCCCAGGGCCCCGCGATCGATAGGGGGCCCCCCTCAGATCAAATACAAAGTCCCTAGTTCCTGTTAAATCACCAAACGGAAGTCATAGGGGCCCCATTATCCTAATATGCCCAGGGCCTCCAATAGGCCAAAGACGCCACTGATGCCCGATTACCATCAGGTGGGGCCATAAGCTTGTTTGCCAGCCTTTTAACAAAAAATAAATAAATAAACCTAGTTTTAACGGGTTAATGCACGAAACTTTATCGATTTATTGACGATGCAGACCTGAAAAGGTTGCGAAACGTATACGTAAAACGAAAAGAATATTCAATCTGACGATGCAGACCTGAAAAGGCTGCGAAACGTCAATAAATAAATAAAGTTTCGTGCATTAACCCGTTAAAACTAGTTTTATTTAATGAGTGATGTGCGTGAAAACCTAAGAAATAAATATAAAAAAATGGTTTTTGCTATATTCAACTACTATTGTATATGTATGGTATATCTGTACTCCTCCGAGGTATTGAGTGTGAGTAGAATGCTCTTCTTTTTCCCTACATCGTGTGGCTCTCGAAATACTGGGAAATGGCTGCAATCTTGGGAGCATATCCCGATCATAAACTATGTGCGTACCACACTTCATCTAAATCAATTTAGTAGTTTATACGTGATTGAGTACCAAAATCACAAACATAAAAATTCACATTTATAATACTTATTATAGTAATACTAGCTGTCCCGGCGAACTAACAGTCGGTGAATGTTATTAATTTTACTAAGAAGGTAACAGTGAGGCAAATTTAAAAGATGGACATATTATGCTGACGCGGACTTTTTTATAGAACCTTTAAAAGGGAAGAATTCCGTTATACTTACTTGATTTAAGTGTACCTTAACCGTTTACGCAATCCAAAGGAAGCTCACAAATGTTAATATTTCTTTCTGTCTGGTCGTAGCGTGATGTTAAATAGCCTTCCTCAATAAATGCACTATCCATACAGGATCGAATCGGATGTATCCACTTCACTTAAATATTTATATTTATCTCTGTTTTTAGTATTCGTTGTTGCTGTCAGACAGACAGACAGAAGGACAGTGGATCTATTAATATTGTTCCGTTTTTACCCTTTAGGTAAGGAACCCAAAAAAACCTATTTTTATCGTAACTCTGTTATAAGCCCCAGGGCGTTTACAAACAATAACTACTGGCGGTAATACCGTTGGTTGCCACAGATAACCGTGGATAAATCATTTACCGTTTCGTGCAAAGTAAGCGCTTATCAAGAAAAGCATTAATCAAAACATAAAAACAGTTCAGTCTTGACGTCATTGTGATTAAAGAAAAATATACTGATTACGTTCTACTCCCACCAGCCAGCTAATTCTCGAATGAAAGTTCCAAATTAAACCGGATCAATACGTAGGAAACTCCGATAATATAAGCATAAGCGTAACTTGTACTGTTTTTACAAACAAAATAGAAGGATCTTGTCTTACCCCTACCCACCTAACGTTAAGCGTTTAGGGAGCGAGACGAGATGCATTATTTCTACACACTAAGTTTAAATTCTAAAATGTTTATGATATTTTTATTTTAAGGATCAAACTGCTAGATTTTATAAATCTAAAGAAAATTGTTAGTAGAAGAAATCTGAGGGGTCCAGGCAGCAGACGGGATTAGAACCTACATCTTCCGCCTTGCAGCCTAAGAAATACTATAGGAAATTCGACGTGGCCAATATTATGATCATAGGAGCAAAATTATTGGTTAGTGCGCTCGCCCGAAAATGAGGGCTGGATTACCGTGTAATGCCTGTACCACGTGGAAATTTTACATAGTAACAATTTTCTATAGATTAAAAAAAATAAATCAATCGTTTGATTTATTATCTCGGAATTGGCAGTTTCTTGATACATAATTTAAAAGTTTATAAACTTTTTAGTAGCTTGTAGAATAGAAAGGTGGCCGCGTTTTTTAGTCTCCAATTACGAAAATATACTCATCAAAAGAGTGAACAACAATTTTTTTTTAACTTTTGGGCGATGTTTGATATTTGAATGCTATTATTAATTGACTAAATCAAAAATAAAAATGGTTGCCTGTAAAGTCGGTTTTACGGGCGAAGATTTTACGTGACAACGTCTTTTTCTCGGTAGAATATTTATTGATATGAATATAATTAAATTGCACAATAGGAACAAGGAATTGAATGAAAATAAGAATTGCACAAATTTTAACTATAGAAATATATTTTGTTTACTAAAACATTGTACATGTAAACTTAAACTTAACACGAGAGACTCATCGTAACGTTACCGAGCGTTACACTTTTTCATAAGTGACTCCCAGCCGCAACCTAATTTAAGACGTTGTCACGTCAAAACATTTGAATAAATTATATATGTCATAACGATAATATAAAATATCAACTGATAAAACTTGCAGTTTGATGCATGTTGCTCTTACTGTTTTGGTGGTGTACTTATAGTCCAGTCAATGAAGGTTTTCACCTCCGATTTCGTTGAATCTCCATCGATTTTCATGAAAATTGGTGAGTAGGTGGGGGATACCCTAAGAAACAAAAGTGACATGTTGCCAACTTGCGCTTTTGCCCTGGGGGTAGATGCCACCCCTTCTCGAGGGTGAAAATTATTTTAATAAAAACAACTCCAGGAATCGATAGTGAGATAGATTCTGAGCAAACTTTGTTATATAAAGTTTCTAGAATTGATCAATACTTTCTGAGTTATTAAAGATCAAAGGTTGGTAATTTTCGTGATAAAAATTCATGTTTTACAGCGGTTTTTCATAAATAACTCAAAAACTGAGTTTTTATAAAAAAAATATTATTACCAAAATTGAAACTAATAAAAAATCAAACGTACCCCTACTTTGAAAAACCTCCTAAAATTAATTCAAAGTGAGCTATAGGTTATTGTATGTTCATACATTTTTTTCGGTGAATACTTAAATCTAAGTATTCAAACCTAAATAACGGGAAACCGATGCATTTTATGACATATACTTCCTGAACATTTTTTAAGGTCCTCGGAAAAACCTTTCTAATGAGTACTGTAAAAAGTTAATAGCATCAACATTGATCAAGTTATGATAAAAATAAGAACACACTGTCGATTTTTTTTTTGAAAAAACGAATAAAGAAACCTTCGCCATTTCCAAAAAAAAAACTTATTTACGGTTATCCCTAAAAAGCTTTTTTTTATTCTAGCATAAGTGATGACCTCAAAAATTTTGCCCAAAATATCAAGATTAAACAGGAAAAGGGTCAGTTCGTCTGTTCGCGTCCATTTAGTGCAGTTGGAAAGTTTGACGGCGATAATAAAAATATCCCAGCACTAATTTCTATTATATAATGTGTTCATTATATAGTCTATTTTAAGATTAACTTTCAGTTTTGTTCGAAACATCTATTGTTTTTTATTTAAATAGATAAACTCCGGAATAAAGAGTTTTACCCACTTTGCGTCCACAAAATCCAAATTGCGTCCACCACCTTAGAAAAGGAATATAGGGGTGATATTTTTAAGAATTTGTATTAAAAGATTGTACCTATTTTAACAATTTCTTTATTTTAGAATATAAATATTAAAACCAACATTATTATCATTAAAATTATCACTTTAAAATATTCTTCTCAATATGGATTGAATTTAAAATTATATAAGTAGTAGGTAAATAATGATTGCATCTTTAAGAATAAACAGTAATCAGTTCTGTTAATTTTACCCTAAAATCACAAGGAATGTTGTTCTCATCGTCGTCTTCTACATCTGAAATTAGTATATCGTCACATTTAGAAAATTGTCTGTCTTAAATTCCTGATTTACCATTTCCTGTGTGACTTCTTGAAGAGCATGTATCTTCTCCTTTCGTTTTGGAGCAGTTTTACGAACCCTTTGAGAGTGTTTTAAACTCTGTTCTTGTTTTTCTATTCGTTCTAACTTTCTTTTTCGTATTGCTTCCTGCTTTTATTTCTTGATCTGCTCTTGATCTTCTTAATACTTACTCCATGCAGCAGAAGATATGGTTGCTAGAGTTCTTTGATTATCTTTTCGTGCTTTGTTAGAAATTTTGGCAGCATCAGGTGGTGTCTGGTCCCAGTTTCTTTACTTCATTTGGTCTGCGCCCACTGATTTTGTACAATATGTCTATGTGTCTTACCGATTTATTCTTTTCTTGAATTTCATTTAACGCTTTCTTTAAATCGTCTTCTGTGTATATTCTCTTTTCCTTCTACTTTCTTGTCTCCGAAGAACTAATAAGAATGAAACAAATAAAGTATTTGATTGATTGATTGAAATTACTCATTTCATTTCAAAATAGCATTAAAACACGTAGTCCTAATAAAAATGTATAATAATAATAATCAATACCTATATTTTAAATTATAATTAATTAATTTTATTTTACAAAAA